GAAATTTGGCACTTAAGGTCAATTAGTAATCAACAAAACATCTCGAAAAAAAATTATAAACAATTATAAAGTTAGAAATCAAATTATCAAAATGGAAAATCTAATAACCCCCCGATACGTAATAATAATACTGACCGAGCAAGCAGTGCTATCGTTAGGAAACGAGTTCTAGGTAAGGATGGCAGATCAATAGATGAAGTAGGGAAACTTCATCAGTTGAGGTGGTTGGGACATGTGTTACGTATGCCTAACCACCGACTACCGCGACAAGCTATGTTTTGTGGTATAGGAGTAAGTTGGAAGAAAGCCAAGGGCGGCCAGACCAAAACATGGTACAAATCCATGAAGTCACTAACAACTGGACTGAGCCATGTTGGTAGGTGTCTTGGTTGGGGTCCGTGAGACAATAGTAACCAATGGTTAGAGCTTGAACGACATGGCTCAAAATCGTTTGCAATGGTGTGCGTAGGTGCATCCACTCTTTGTGTGCATTTTAATTTTAACCTGAATTCCTCATAATCACTATCTTTCTCCTTTTGAATTTATCTCACAGATTTATACTATTCGAATCATATCTTCGCTCCCTAATCTTCTCCATTACTGCTAACAATTCTACTATCGCTACCAATATTGGATTTGAACTGACAGTTATCTCTCTGTGCTGAACTGATGTACTTATGTACGAAGTTCTCCATTGTATCTGTCTGTTTGACTAATAATAATAACAACTCAAAGAAAAAAATAGCCATTTCAATAAATTCAACTGTGTTAATCTTCTATAAAGTGTATCTATCAATTAGGGTCAACAATTCTATTTGAATTTAGTGTTAATGATTGATTGTTATGCATTATCTAAACATAATAAATAATAAAAGCTCTACGAGTAAATTATTCATCCCTTATTGAAAGAAAAAGCAACTTCAACATATTTATTAAAACAAAATCAATAACTGTTTTTCTTTCTTTTTCTCTCTTTCCTGAATTAACAACACACATCAAACAAACAAATAATGAATAGGATTATTTCTTCTCAATTGGGATTTACTGTCGTCTTCTTATTCAATTAGAGAAAATCTAATTTTAAGCAGGATTGTGTTTTATTATTTTCTTCCTCTCTCTCTATTCTGTTTTCTATTTGCCACTATTATTATTATTATTATTATTAGTATGATGATTGAAAAAGAGAACAATGAAAAATTGTCATCTTAGTCGGCTTTTTATAAATGGACAAAATCGGACGATGATGATGATGATGATGATGATAGGATATTAATGATAATCAATCATTCTCATCATCATCATCAACAACATCTTTTTTGGTAGGCTAATCATGCTTTGTTGTTGTAACATTGTATGAAGGAAAGGAAAATTCCCTCTAGTATGTGTATATATATATATGTGTGTGTGTGCGTTGTGTGGATGTAAGGGCTTGTATTTGATGAATTGTATCACAAATCACTGAAGGCATGCAATTTGATTGATCAATCATACAATGTTAATAATAATAATAATAATAATAATAATAATAATAATAATACTAAGTCCAAAAATGTCAATTTTTGATTTAATTCAATTTTTTTTTGCTTGTTAGGTTATAAATAGTCAGTCATTCAAATAATAAACCATAAAATTTAGAAATTTATTCGAAGTAAAAAAAAAACGAATAAATAAAGATGAATTTTTGTTCTATTTTTTGTTCAGTTAAACTAATTAAATAAAATTGATCAAAAAGCTTGTTTCTTTCTTATTTTTTTTTTGTGTGATTAGAAATCATTTAAAAATGTTTAGTTTGTTTTTTTTGTGGTATTTACATCTAATCTTTCAATGACACTGGATGGAGGAGATGAGCGATAAGATAAATTGTAATAATCTCTTTTATAATTATTAGAAAAATTGTAAACTATTTAAGTTGAAATGTGATCATGAACAACAATATGAAACATTTAAAATAATAAGTAAATAATATGATGTTAAATGTTCAATTGTAACGTTGAATTTGCACAAAATGATGTGAGTTGGACAATGGCTATATGACTACGTCATTGACAGAATTTGAACTGAAGTTTTGTATTGACTGATCACTGTGCAGTAGTCTATATATATAGACTTTTTACGGTGGGGCTTATAAGTAGTATCTACTGGGTGTGTAACAGTGGCAAAATGTAGCGTATTCAAAGCCACACTGAATAATATATATATATATATATTTCAAATTTTCAAGTAAACAGTTGAAATCAGACTAAACTAAAGTATTAATAAATATGTTGAATGAATTTCGCGTTTCATTCTTATCTGTGTAGATTGAGTAAAAACAGATTTTACAAATAAAATCTTAAAATTATTAAACAAATTAGATTATTGTTTTAAAATTTCTGTTAAAAAAACAAACAACTTACAAGACGACGAAATGTTTGTGATTTCCAATGTGTACCATGATCATTAACTTGATTATCTGTTTGGCAAGAATCTTGTTTATGATTTGTGATAGAATTTTGATTATTTGGTTCATCAACATTTTGATTATAAATAATGTAAGGATCTATTGCTGAAAGACAACGAGCACGATTTTGATGATGCTGATGATGATGACGATTATTATGATTATGAACATGACGATAATGATGATGATGATGATGTTGTCTATGACCATGACGACATATAGTTGACATAGAACGTGCAGTACCACTACGTTGACTGCATATAGAATGATGATCATCTTCTGTATTATCTGCATCTGATGCATAAGCACTCACAGATGTAAGTAGATGTGATCGACGTAATGCACTTAGACCATTTTGTTCAATATCACTTGCTTTATCAAGATCTGAACCATCTCTGTCAATGCATAGATTAGCCATACTTAATGCACTTCGTCCACGTGTTGTTAAATTTATAGATGAAGCAAATGTAGTCACTTCGGTCCAGTGATAATTCCCCATAGCTAAAGGATGTGATTGTTGTGAATTGTGAAGTGATTCTGAAACTTCTTCTTCTTCTTCTTCACCTTGTGAATCCGATTGATCTCTTAACAGTAGTGATGTTGGTAATGAATTTTTTTCTGATTGAATTTGTGTAGACAAAGATGTGGATTCAATTGCAGAAATTTGATTGATTTTTTCTATAGTTTTTTGTGGAACACTATCTCTACGCTAAAATAGACATACAATGATTTATTGAATGAATAACATGGAGTATTGACAGAATGAAATGTAAATAATGCTTATCATAAAAGTTGAGTGACAAAACGCAGCTTTATATTTACAGTTGACATGAAATATTTTTTTGGGAGACTTTTAAAGTTACCACTCGAAATTTAATGGTGCCTTGGAATGAGATACTTATTGTGAAGAAAAAAAATGAATGAGAAAATATCAGACGATTAGAATGCAAATAGTTGTATTTAACTTGGATTTATACACTTCAAATTAAGTAAAGAATATATGTTGAGTAATGTTCTCTCTACACTTAACGATTACTATAGTTTCTGATTTGATATTCTTTTCTCAGTGAATGATATATATGTGACCAATCTAATCAAAATAGTTGTTAATGCATATACATCGTTCATAAAGTTATTATCACAATGATAATAATCATACTCTCTTATTTTAATAGTTAAAGATACAAATTTATTTTAGTCAAACTTTAAATGAAAGGTTGGAAGCATTTGATAGCTAATTCGTTCTAGTGTGGAACTGTTTAGTGGTATGTATTCATGATCTCACATCCAGCTTGGTGATTCAAGAGTTAAACGTGTACGCAAACGAAACCGAAGATCATAATTTCGAGTTTTGAATGCTCAGGTTTGAATAGTTCCATTCTAGGAGTAAACGGCCATCCAGTACTTACAGATTTAAAAGTAAGATCAGTGTAAAGGGTTTAAACTACGAAAGTTCTTCAGTTTTCACAAATTTCCTATCTACTCATCACTTATTAGCATTACGGGGTTGTGAAGATTGTTAAGTTACACATTTTTGAAACCATGAACCGATCAATGTTAGACCACCATTAGAAACCTGGAAACACTGAACGGCCGTTTCGTTTCACGGAGTTGCGTAACCTCATACACAGTCTTCGGTAGTTACTGATCAAGTTAGACATTAACGCCGTTAGATACCGGCTCAGTGGTCTACCGGTTAGGGCGTTCGCGCACAATACCGAAGGTCCTGGGTTTGAATCCTGCGAGGTTCAGGAGTCGTTGGTGCGCAATGCTGAGGAGTCCCATACCAGGACGAAACGGCCGTCCAGTTTCTCCAGGTTTCATCACTTATTGATCACTTATCTTTGCTTGACGCTTACTCATCCATTGATATGAAACATTAAAATAACAATAAAATTACAAATAAACAGAAAGGTGAAGTACATTTTGCATGAATGAAGTTTTTTTTAAAAAAAATATGTGATAACGTCAAACAAATTGTACTGATTAGTGTTTTTACACATTTGAAATCATCAATCAATCATTGTTAGACCATCATTAGAAACCTGCAAGCACTGGACGGCCGTTTTGTCCTACAATAATACTGAACTGAATGAGGAACTACCTAATCACAAATTTGATTAATTCTATTTCGTTCACGTGATCTCTTAATCCATTTCCTATTTCTTCCTCTTTCTTATATTATTCTTTTATTTCTAAATAAAGCTTTAGTTAAGTTTTATAATTATACTATGAGTCATAAGTATCTGAGTTTATTTAATGTAAAGAAGGTTAACAATTCCATTGTTCGTCTGTTTTTTTTTAATACTTATTGTTATACAGAATACTTACTAGACATAACTAGCCGAAATCGATTTAATTATCTGACTGGATTACTGAAAAGAGGGATTACAAGATGAGATAAGTGAGAAAAAAAAGAGATTTCACTTTCAAATACAAAGGAAAGAGGAGAAAGTTCAAGGAAGAACAAAGATATTTAATAATGTTAAGTAAGTATATATATAGATGACCATTTGTTAAATGGTTCAAGGCAGTTAACATGAACAACTGGACATATGTTTCATACCGAGTTAGCGAGACGTACCTAGGATGTTGAGGAAACTGATTTTCACCTAATGTTCAAACCTACATGATAAAACTTAACTGTTTGAGTTATTCGAACACTGACCGACCTCTTGTACAAGGTCGATTAGTGACCATTGTCATGAACGTCAAGTCTTTTAGTACTATCTGTCAATCGAGTGGTAGTATGAACACTAGTCTGAATTAGTGAACGCTGCATGCGCTGTGTTAAGGTAGTGGGGGTTTGAAATAGTTCGTTGAGTGATTAAAATTCGAGTATTAGTTTCTTGAGGCTTACAGGTACGCCTGACTAACGAGTACAAAGTATTAAGAAACGTAGGTTCAAGATATCTTTCCAACTGCTTTTACTCACTTAAGGTCAAAACATAATGCTCGCGAAGTTAAGTAATTCAGAATGATCACAACATTGCAGTTTGTCCAAGAGAATACAGTCGAAACCAAAATGACTTGATAAATATTGTCCTGGTTATTACTTAGTGACAAGTCAATTGTAAGCTCGGCAATTCGCACCTTAATATGTAAAAACCAGTGATAATTCAAGTGAGTGTACTGAGAACTCATTATAAACGATTTTTTAGTCAGTTCATGCAACTTTGTGTCAATCAGTATATACTTGTACATTCGGTTCTTTTGTATGTAAGTTTATGTGGTATACTATCTCAGGAGTTATAACTCAAACATATGAAGTGTGAAATTGATTTTCAATATCCAATTGGTTGAGATTAGAAGGATTTAATCAATAAAAATCTATTGATTTATGATCAAGCTTAAAGGAACGTGAAATATTTTGTCAGGTTAAATGGTAAAAGCAATCCATTATTGTAAACGATTAGGATCAGGTGTTATATTCATTTCAACTCGTTTTATAATGTATGTTATTGTAGCATTAATATGAATACTTTCATGATAGACATTACAAACAAGATTAAACTTCGTAATATAAATATATTTATATTTGTGAAATACATGATACGTTTCTTATCTTATTTGGATCTGTTTAGCCCAACGTATCTGCATTCCGACGTTAATGTTCACATCGAGAACCAAACTCAGTGTCTATCGTTTTCAACATTAATACATTTATCATTGAGCTACTGGGATTAAATAACCACCAACTCGTCCATGGTTTATAATGTTTATTCAACAGGTTTTACTCGTTGATTACTAACTTTTTATTACTCTTTTACTGCGTATACGCATCTTAAGATGATTGATTCACTTGATAAACGCTTTTTGTTATGCACTGGGGTTTGAAATAGTCAAAATTCAGTCCTAAATATCAACCACGAGATTATCGTTGAAATTTTTAATGATTTTGAATTTATCAATCAAAAATTTATTCAATTTGATTGAACAAATCACAAAATTTGATTTCTTTATCATTAGACATGGTACAAAAGCTGGTACTAGACTCAATAAAGTTTCCTATTTTTCAAACTTCAAAACTGATTACAACTTCAAGTTGAAAAGAATGAAATGAAGAACTTTTTTAAATCTATGTTAACAAGAAAATAAAAGTTTGATTTTGATCAATAACTCCTAAAAGTATCACTTACTTCAGGTGCTGGTGGTGGAGGTCCAGGTCGTCGACCAACTGTACTAATATTTCTAGTCACATCAGGTGGTATTGAATTTGGATCACTTTGAGTATTAGAAGTTTGCATTGTACTCTGTTGATCAGATTGACCACATGTATTTTCATTAGTTCCAGTGCAATTGGATTGTGTTTGTTGATGTTGAGTTGATGGTTGTGGCGATAATGTAGTATTTGTTGACAATGAAGCAACTTGAGCAAATTGTGGTTGTCTGATGGGTAAAGGTATATTATTTCCTAAAGCTATTTGACTCAAATTACCTGAGGCATTTGTCAGGACTGGTATATAAGACTAGAATTTGGAAATTAAAATCATAAAAGAGATGTTTCATTAATCTAAGTAACATGATATATATAGAAGAGTTTATCATAGATGAACTAGTTGAGCACAATCCTTTTTTCATAAATTATTGAATTTACTGATTCTAGTGGTGAAGAATCGTTATTTTTAATGCGATAACAATGATAAGATTTATCAAACTCAATGTTTATGAGAATCTTTTCCTCGATTAGAAAAACGTTTCAACTGAAGTTTCTTAGTTTGTTAACTTTTTTCAAAGTAACGCAGTTGGACAAGAAGCGTATAATGATTGGCACCCTCATTGTAAATCCTTCATTGTTATTGTGGCTAACACCGTAGGCGCCCAAATGATGTGGAAGTGAAGTAATGGTTGATTATGTCATCTAAGTGTGAAAACTAAAATTGCATGACGGGGTTGTGAAGATTGTTAAGTTACACATTTTTTGAAACCATGAGTCGATCAATGTTAGACCACCATTAGAAACCTATAAGCACTGAAAGACGGCCGTTTCGTCCTGGTATGGGACTCCTCAGCAGTGCGCATCCACTACTCCTGCACCCCACAGGAGTAGGCATTCGCCTACAATACCGAAGGTCCTGGGTTCGAATTCTGCGGGGTGCAGGAGTCGTGGATGCTCATTGCTGAGGAGTCCCGTACCCGGACGAAATGGCCGTCCAGTGCTTCCAGGTTTCTAATGGTGGTCTAACATTGATCGATTCATGGTTTCAAAAATAATGATTTAATAATACTTTCATTAATTTTTTGCTTATTCTGTTAGTTAACATTTTCACTGGGGACTATGTTACTTTAGACTAATTTTATTTAAATAAACTTTGAAATATGTAAATGAAGGGCTGTCTTCGTTTGTTCAAAATTTAAAAACGGTAGTCTGAAAATTCCAAACATTTACTAAGGTTGATTGGTTAATTTTTTTTGAAGAAAGATTTATAAACTTTAATTTTGCTGTTTCATTATCAATAAATTATAGCATAGGGATGAAGCTAATGAAAACTTAGTTTTTTTTCTTTTAATTCAGTAAAAACAATATATGACTGCAGTTTTTAATCTATTGTTTCGGATCAGTATTGCTTTGCTTTGGATTTACTAATGGCATAATGAGATTTTGAATTTGTATCCTTTCATAGTAAATATTTAACTCCGCCTGAAGCCTCTCTACGGCTACTGCCGGTCCCAAGCCCATATAAAGCAGAAGGGTTGGGCATGGAGTTGGCGACCCCATTCCGTAGAAAAGGCACAAACAAACAAGCAACAGAACAGAAGAACGACGATCTGGCAATGACAGCGGAAAAGGCTACAAGAGAACGAAAGATGCGACTTTTATGCGATAAAACAAAGAAGCTCACTGAAAACTATCGTAAATTAGAACGACTAGCGAAAAGAAAGGAAGGCACAGTAAAATATGTGGGTATAGCACTTTGAAGAACTCCTGAATCAACCAACCTCGAAGAATCCACTCAACATCGAAGCAGCACCAACAGACCTCCCAGTCAATGTTTACCCATCAACAAATCAAGAGATCAGTATGGTTATCAGATAGATCAAGAGCAGTAGAGCAGAGGGACCAGACAACATTCCAGCTGAAGCGCTCAAAGTAGGCGTAGCAGAAACTGCAGAGATACTTCACGTTATCTTAAATAAGATTTGGTCCGAAGAGCAAATACCAACAGACTGGAAAGAAGGATACTTGATATCATTGTGGAACAATCAGTTGAATGCAACTCACCACTCTACATCATTTTCGTTGACTACGAGAAAGCATTTGATAGTGTGAACATGACAGCACTATAGAGGCTACTTTGACACTACAGCGTGCCTGAGAAAATAGTTAACACCATACGGAATTGTTACGATGGATTAAACTGCAAAATTGTGCATGGAGGACAGCTGACAGACTCGTTAGAGTTGAAGACCCGTGTAAAACAAGGTTGATTACTCTCACCCTTTCTCTTTCTCCTGGTGATCGACTGGATTATGAAGACGTCAACATCTGGAGGGCAGCGCGAATACAATCGACAACTAGGACACAGCTGTTCAATCTAGACTTTGCAGATGATCTGGTTCTTCTATTGCACACCGAACAACAAATGCAAGAGAAAATGACCAGAGTGGCAGCATATCTCAACACGCATTCGACACAACACAAGAAGCATAAAGCGAATCATACCTGACGGTGAAGCTTTGGATAATGTAAAAACTTTTACATATCTGAGGAGCTTCATTGACAATCAAGGTGGATCTGATGCAGTGATGACAGCATTTCTATAACCGAAGAACATCTACAACTCAAAACAACTGTCAACTCAATTTCCAATACAAACATCAAGATAGTTCTATTGTATAGAGAGGAAACTTGGAGAACCACGAAAGCCATAATCTAAGAGATACAAGTGTTTATTTGCATGTATCTACGCAAAACATTTATGATCCGTTAGCTAGACATCATCAGCAACAACACAGTGTGGGAGAGAATAAACAAGATGCCGGTTGTGGGAGAAATCAGGAAGAAGCGCCTTATGCGAATGAGACACACAATCAATAAAGCATCAAATTGTACTCATCACAAGTCCTCACTTGAAATCTTCAATGCTAAAGGAAAACAGTAAGGCCAAGAAGTACATCATGACGAGAAATGGAGACAGACATGGGAAGAATGAATAAAAATTGAACAGAAATGCAAAGGAAGGGCTAGGACAGAGTAGCTTAGAGAATGCTGGTCAGTGGCCTATTCCCGATTGGGTGTAACAGGCGTAAGTAAGTAAGTAAGTAAGCATAATAAATATTTCAACAGGAATTCACTTGAGACTATGGATTAGATGAAGCTCGGTAAGTTGTATTTAATTTAGGCATTCAGTGATAACCTAATAGCGTAAGTGGCAAACTATGGTAAAATGGAGTTCTCACTGATTGAATGAGATCATCGTATGTTTATCACTAAGATAAAGGGATTATCGCTTAACTACTCGAGCGTTTTATGATGCAATCTTAATCATGATTTAAAAGATAATCACTTTTACCTTGCCTGAACTAAATCCCTATGGTAACACTGATTAATGATGTGTTACAAATTTCAAGAGATTATTTATGATATAACTAATAACATTAACACTAATAATAAGTCAATTTAATAATTAAATGAAGAATTTCACGTTAACAGTGAAATAGCAAACTAGTTTATGAGTTTCTCTTCAACTTCATATGAATATATTTGATCAAAAACAAAGCAGCATATCATCATTTGAAATGATCATTTAATCATTTAATAACATTAGAGTCCCTGTATTCAATGTGTCCAATTTTTTTGTTTTAATGATGATGGAATATTAAAAACATAGATCAGTTTAATTTATCAATGTAGTTAAATAAAATGGAAAATGTTAAGGAGATTTGTGTATGTGCTTGTGTGTGTGTAATATTTGATAAAAACAGTCGTACTGAAGTGAAGGAGAACACAGGTTAGGGCAATCGAATTGTATTTAACGAAAAATATTACAGAGTTACTCAGTAAAATAAGAAAATCATATCGTAAACCGTTGTCTGACATTTTACTGTTCATGCGTTTCATACAAATTCCATTGTGTTCCCCCCACTCTTCCTTTCTTGATCTTCCCTCATCTTCTGCTGCTGCCAGACATTACGTTGACGCTCACGTCATATACTACTTATAAGTAGCACGCACCACAGTACAAGAATTCAGTTCAATTAACTATCAGTTTGTCAAGTTAATATTGATTAATAAAATAATCTATTAGTCAATCAGTGAAAAAATGTGGAATGTAACATCTAGTAGACACCCGCACATAAACATTTATAATCATGCACAAAGATTCCACTTGAATCTACATCATGTCTACTAAACAAGGAGTTTAAATAATACTGTAATATAAAAAATATACATGTTTGCGCAACACTTTCTCATACATTTTATATCATTAAAATTTATCTTTGCTTTAAGTATGCACTTTAACTTTTTTCTAGTTAATCTGTTCATGCTGCTATACTTACACTGTAACGACACTTACATTAGTTTACATTTAATTGGTCGTTGTATATGTGTCTTCATATGTAATATAATTGACCCCAGAATATCACATATTATCAAGTATAACTAATAATATCTGTAGAGATATTGATGAAAGCTTGTTCTGATTGAAATTTCAATGTATGTAGTAAATAATATATGTTTATCGTTGATAAATGAATTTTTTTAATCCTGATGATAAGGATTTAACATCTAATTATGGCTTATTTAGACAATTGAAATAGTTGCGCTACAATCAAGAAACAATGGTGCAATGGAATTTTCGAATTTGGAATGTAATATGAATTTTTTAGTTTTGTGTTATGTTAAAAGACTTAACGATTGCAAAATTGACCACAATATTGGACACTGTAAGTAATCAAATGATAAAGTGAGCATACAAAGCACTTTAGATAGGTTAAATATGTAAATTCGAATGAGCTATTCGTTGTTTAGTGCATTTGTATTGGCTGTTTGAATCTTCCCATTAATGCTTAAGACTACAACGGCTTATATGCAACCGCAGCGGACTACTTTGTTATGACTATCACGTCACATGTATAATAAGTAGAGATGGATAGTAGTTGGCAGTGGAATTCGAGAGGCGCATTTCGTCCTAGTTGGGACTCTTTGTCTGAATATATCAAATGACACTGACTATATATTTTCATTCTGATTACCTGAAAATTTCACTATCTAAGTATATACAACAACAAAATCTTACAAGACTATAAAATAATAATGTGACAGTTTGAAGTATTTTTAAATTCTATTTTCTAAAATTACATAATATTGTTCCCCACGAATAGATAATTAGCTGGGTCAACTGTTTTTCCTTGTAGAGTTATGGAGATTGTTGTTGATTACTGAAATCATGAATGGATTATTGTAAGACCACCATTAGAAACCTGGAAGCACTAGACGGCCGTTTCGTCCTGGTATGGGACTCATGGGCAGTGAACATCTACGACTCCTGCACCTCGTAGGATTCGAACTCGGGACTTTCGGTATTGTGCGCGCACGCCTAACCATCGGACCACTGGACCGGCATCCAACGATGTTAATGTTTAAATCTGATTGATCTACGGATTTCGCGCATCCTCACCCATTATTGATTGATGATTTCAAATGTGTAAAACTCAAACCCCCAAAGCTCTAACTGAAAATATCGTAACATGTGCTCACTAGTGACTAGCTTCGTGAGGAAATTCTCGGAGTTCTAGTTGAGAAGACGTGATGAATGGAGTTCAACCCTGTCAGGTGAAGGCAGCAACTACCAAAGACAAATGGTGTCCCCCGCCTGTGAGCAACACAAGGGCGAGGCACGATGAGCTCTCTCCGACAGCTTCTTCCTGAGTCTCACGTACATCTGCGCGCTGATGTACGTGAGACTCAGGATGAAGCTGTCCGAGAGTGCTCTTCCTGCCTCGCCCTTGTGTTGCTCACAGGCGGGGGACCATTTGTCTTTGGTAGTTGCTGCCTTCACCTGACAGGGTTGAACTCCATTGGTCACGTCTTCTCAACTAGAACTCCGGGAATTTCCTCACGAAGCTAGTGACTAGTGAGCACATGTTACGATATTTTCAGTTAGAGCTTTGGGGGTTTGAGTTTTACACATTTGAAATCATCAATCAATAATGGGTGAGGACGCGCAAAATCCGTAGATCAATCAGAGTTAGACATTAACACCGTTGGATGCCGGTCCAGTGGTCCAGTGGTTAGGCGTTCGCGCACAATACCGAAGGTCCCGGGTTCGAATCCTACGAGGTGCAGGAATCATGGATGCGCACTGCCACTGATGAGTCAGTCCCATAGCAGGCAAGACGAAACGGCCGTGTTTCAGTGCTTCCAGGTTTCTAATGCTGGTCTAACAATAATCCATTCATGATTTCAGTAATCAACAACAATCTCCATAACTCTACAAGGAAAAACAGTTGACCCAGCTAATTATCTATTCGTGGGGAACAATATTATGTAATTTTAGAAAATAGAATTTAAAAATACTTCAAACTGTCACATTATTATTTTATAGTCTTGTAAGATTTTGTTGTTGTATATACTTAGATAGTGAAATTTTCAGGTAATCAGAATGAAAATATATAGTCAGTGTCATTTGATATATTCAGACAAAGAGTCCCAACTAGGACGAAATGCGCCTCTCGAATTCCACTGCCAACTACTATCCATCTCTACTTATTATACATGTGACGTGATAGTCATAACAAAGTAGTCCGCTGCGGTTGCATATAAGCCGTTGTAGTCTTAAGCATTAATGGGAAGATTCAAACAGCCAATACAAATGCACTAAACAACGAATAGCTCATTCGAATTTACATATTTAACCTATCTAAAGTGCTTTGTATGCTCACTTTATCATTTGATTACTTACAGTGTCCAATATTGTGGTCAATTTTGCAATCGTTAAGTCTTTTAACATAACACAAAACTAAAAAATTCATATTACATTCCAAATTCGAAAATTCCATTGCACCATTGTTTCTTGATTGTAGCGCAACTATTTCAATTGTCTAAATAAGCCATAATTAGATGTTAAATCCTTATCATCAGGATTAAAAAAATTCATTTATCAACGATAAACATATATTATTTACTACATACATTGAAATTTCAATCAGAACAAGCTTTCATCAATATCTCTACAGATATTATTAGTTATACTTGATAATATGTGATATTCTGGGGTCAATTATATTACATATGAAGACACATATACAACGACCAATTAAATGTAAACTAATGTAAGTGTCGTTACATTGTAAGTATAGCAGCATGAACAGATTAACTAGAAAAAAGTTAAAGTGCATACTTAAAGCAAAGATAAATTTTAATGATATAAAATGTATGAGAAAGTGTTGCGCAAACATGTATATTTTTTATATTACAGTATTATTTAAACTCCTTGTTTAGTAGACATGATGTAGATTCAAGTGGAATCTTTGTGCATGATTATAAATGTTTATGTGCGGGTGTCTACTAGATGTTACATTCACATTTTTCACTGATTGACTAATAGATTATTTTATTAATCAATATTAACTTGACAAACTGAGATAGTTAATTGAACTGAATTCTTGTACTGTGGTGCGCGCTACTTATAAGTAGTATATGACGTGAGTGTCAACGTAATTTCTGGCAGCAGAAGATGAGGAAAGATCAAGAAAGGAAGAGTGGGAACACAATGGAATTTGTATGAAACGCATGAATAGTAAAGTGTCAGACAATGGATTGATGATGGATTGAAGATTCGCAAATTAACCGTTTACGATATGGTTTTCCTATTTTACTGAGTAACTCTGTAATTTTCGTCAAATACAATTCGGTTGCCCTCACCTGTGTTCTCCTTCACTTCAGTACGACTGTTTTTATCAAATATTACACACACACAAGCACATACACAAATCTCCTTAACATTTTCCATTTTATTTAACTACATTGATAAATTAAACTGATCTATGTTTTTAATATTCCATCATCATTAAAACAAAAAAATTGGACACATTGAATACAGGGACTCTAATGTTATTAAATGATTAAATGATCATTTCAAATGATGATATGCTGCTTTGTTTTTGATCAAATATATTCATATGAAGTTGAAGAGAAACTCATAAACTAGTTTGCTATTTCACTGTTAACGTGAAATTCTTCATTTAATTATTAAATTGACTTATTATTAGTGTTAATGTTATTAGTTATATCATAAATAATCTCTTGAAATTTGTAACACATCATTAATCAGTGTTACCATAGGGATTTAGTTCAGGCAAGGTAAAAGTGATTATCTTTTAAATCATGATTAAGATTGCATCATAAAACGCTCGAGTAGTTAAGCGATAATCCCTTTATCTTAGTGATAAACATACGATGATCTCATTCAATCAGTGAGAACTCCATTTTACCATAGTTTGCCACTTACGCTATTAGGTTATCACTGAATGCCTAAATTAAATACAACTTACTGAGCTTCATCTAATCCATAGTCTCAAGTGAATTCCTGTTGAAATATTTGTTATACTTACTTACTTACTTACTTTCGCCTGTTACCCCCAAAGGATCATAGGCCATTGACCAGCATTCTCTAACCTACTCTGTCCTAGGCCTTCCTTTGCAGCTCTGTTCAATTTTTATTCATTCTTCCCATGTTTGTCTCCCTTTCTCGGCATGATGTACTTCTTGGCCTTACTCTTTTCCTTTAGCATTGAAGATTTCTAGTGAGGACTTGTGATGAGCACAGTTTGATGCTTTACTGATTGTGTGTCTTATTCGCATAAGGCGCTTCTTCCTGATTTCTCCCACAACCGGCATCTTGTTTATTTTCTCCCACAGTATGTTGTTGCTGATGCTGTCTAGCCAAAGGATCATAAATATTTTGCGTAGACACATGCAAATAAACACTTGTATCTTTTAGATTATGGCTTTCGTGGTTCTCCAAGTTTCCGCTCTATACGATAGAACTGTCTTGATGTTTGTATTAGAAATTGAGTTGACAGTTGTTTTGAGTTGCAGATGTTCTTCGGTTGTAGAAATGCTGTCATCACTTTCGCACATCTACATCAGATCCACCTTGATTGTCAATGAAGCTCCTCAGATATGTAAAAGTTTTTACATTATCCAAAGCTTCACCGTCAGGTATGATTCGCTTTATGCTTCTTGTGTTGTGTCGAATGCGTGTTGAGATGTGCTGCCCCTCTGGTCGTCTTCTCTTGCATTTGTTGTTTGGTGTGCGGTAAAAGAACCAGATCATCTGCAAAGTCTAGATCGAGCAGCTGTGTCCTAGTTGTCCATTGTATCCGCGCTGCCCTCCAGATGTTGACGTCTTCATAACCCAGCCCATCACCAGTAGAGAGAAAAAGGGTGAGAGTAAGCATCGTTGCCTGACACCGGTCTTCAGCTCAAACGAGTCTGTCACCTGTCCTCGATGCACAATTTTGCAGTTTAACCCATCATAACAATTCCGTATGGTGTTAACTATTTTCTCAGGAACGCTGTAGTGTCACAGTAGCCTCTACAGTGCTGTCGCGTTCACACTATCAAATGCTTTCTCGTAGTCAACGAAGTTGATGTAGAGTGGTGAGTTGCATTCAACTGATTGTTCCACAATGATATCAAGTATCCTTCTTCCAGTCTGTTGGTATTTGCTCTTCGGACCAAATCTTATTTAAGATAACGTGAAGTATCTCTGCAGTTTCTGCTACGCCTACTTTGAGCGCTTCAGCTGGAATGTTGTCTGGTCCCTCTGCTCTACTGCTCTTGATCTATCTGATAACCATACTGATCTCTTGATTTGTTGATGGGTAAACATTGACTGGGAGGTCTGTTGGTGCTGCTTCGATGTTGAGCGGTTGGTTGATTCAGGGATTTTCTTCAAAGTGCTATACCCATATGTTTTAATGTGCCTTCCTTTCTTTTCACCAGTCGTTCTAATTTACGACAGGTTTTCAGTGAGCTTCTTTGTTGTATCGCGTACAAGTCGCATCTTTCCTTCTCTTGTAGCCTTCCTTTTCCGCTGTCCATTGCCAGATCGTCGTCTCCTTCTGTTCTGTTGCTTGTTTGTTTGGTTTGTGCCTTTTCTACGGGATGGGGTCGCCAACCCATGCCCAACCCTTCTCCTTTATACGGGCTTTGGACCGGCAGTAGCCGTAGAGAGGCTTCAGGCGGAGTTAATATTTACTATGAAAGCGTTACCAATTCAAAATCTCATTATGCGATCAGTAAATCCAAAGCAAAGCAATACTGATCCGAAACAATAGATTAAATACTGCAGTCATATCTTGTTTTTACTGAATTAAAATAAATACAAAGTTTTCATTAGCTTCATCCCTATGCTATAGTTTATTGATAATGAAACAACAAAATTAAAGTTTATAAATCTTTCTTCAAAAAAAAATTAACCATATCAGTCTTAGTAAATGTTTGGAATTTTCAGACTACCGTTTTAAATTTTGAACAAACGAAGACAACGCTTCATTTACATATTTCAAAGTTTATTTAAATAAAATTAGTCTAAAGTAACATCGTCCCCAGTGAAAATATGTTAAACTAACAGGAATAAGCAAAAAAATTAATGAAAGTATTATTAAATCATTATTTTTGAAACCATGATCGATCAATGTTAGACCACTATTAGAAACCTAAAAGCACTGGACGGCCGTTTTGTCCTGGTAATGAGCATCCACGACTCCTGCAAGGTGCAGGATTCGAACTCACGACCTTCGTATTGTAGGCGAATGCCTACTCACTGTTGGGGTGCAGGAGTCGTGGATGCGCACTGCTGAGGAGTCCCATACCAGGACGAAACGGCCGTCCAGTGCTTCCAGGTTTCTAATGGTGGTCTAACATTGATCGACTCATGGTTTCAAAAAATGTGTAACTTAACAATCTTCACAACCCCGTCATGCAATTTTAGTTTTCACACTTAGATGACATAATCAACCATTACTTCACTTCCACATCATTTGGGCGCCTACGGTGTTAGCCACAATAACAATGAAGGATTACAATGAGGGTGCCAATCATTATACGCTTCTTGTCCAACTGTTAACAAACTAAGAAACTTCAGTTGGAACGTTTTTCTAATCGAGGAAAAGATTCTCATAAAACACTGAGTTTGATAAATCTTATCATTGTTATCGCATTAAAAATAACGATTCTTCACCACTAGAATCAGTAAATTCAATAATGTATAAAAAAGGATTTGTGCCTCAGCTAGTTCATTTATGATAAACTCTTCTATATATATCGTGTTACTTGGGTTAATGAAACATCTCTTTTATGATTTTAATTTCCAAATTCTAGTCTTATATACCAGTCCTGACAAATGCCTCAGGTAATTTGAGTCAAATAGCTTTAGGTAATAAATATACCTTTACCCATCAGACAACCACAATTTGCTCAAGTTGCTTCATTGTCGACAAATACTACATTATCGCCACAACCATCAGCTCAACATCAACAAACACAATCCAATTGCACTGGAACTAATGAAAATACATTGTGGTCAATCTGATCAACAGAGTACAATGCAAACTTCTAATACTTGATCCAAATTCAATACCACCTGATGTGACTAGAAATATTAGTACAGTTGGTCGACGACCTGGACCTCCACCACCAGCACCTGAAGTAAGTGATACTTTTAAGAGTTTATTTATCAAAATCAATCTTTATTTTCTTGTTAACATAGAATTAAAAAAGTTCTTCATTTCATTCTTTTCAACTTGAAGTTGTAATCAGTTTTCAAGTTTTGAAAAATAGGAAACTTTATTGAGTAGTACTGTGGTGTGAGCTACTTATAAGTAGTATATGACGTGGAGTGTCAAACGTAATGTCTGGCAGCAGAAGATGGGGGAAGATCAAGAAAGGAAGAGTTAGATTAGAACACAATGGAATTTGTATGAACGCAATGAATAGTGACAATGGATTGATGTTCTGAAACAGGAACAGTCCAGTTCGATATGATGAACTGATATTTTGCAAATTAACGATTTACGATATGGTGTTCCGATTTTACTGAGTAACTCTGTAATTTCGCTAAATTCGGTTGCCCCCACCTGTGTTCTCGTTCACTACAGTACCAGCTTTTGTACCAAGTCTAATGATAAAGAAATCAAATTTTGTGATTTGTTCAATCAAAAACACTTATTATAATATTAGATGGTCTTAAATTGAATAAACGTTTGACTGATAAATTCAAAACTCATTAAAAGTTTCAACGATAATCTCGTTGTTGATATTTAGGACTAAATTTTGACTATTTCAAATCACAGTACATAACGAAAAGGGTTTATCAAGTGAATCCTCTTAAGATGCGTATACGCAGAAAAAAGTAATAAAAAGTTATTAATCAACGAGTAAAACCTGTTGAATAAACATTATAAACCATGGACGAGTTGGTGGTTGTTTAATCCCAGTAGTTCAGTGATGAATGTATAAATGTTTAAAACGATAGACACACTGAGTTTGGTTCTCGATGTGAACATTAATGTCGGGATGCAGATACATTGGGCTAAACAGATCCAAATAAGATAAGAAACGTATCATGTATTTCACAAATATAAATATATTTATATTACGAAGTTAATCTTGTTTGTAATGTCTATCATGAAAGTATTCATATTAATGCTACAATAACATACATTATAAAACGAGTTGAAATAAATATAACACCTGATCCCAATCGTTTTACAATAATGGATTGCTTTTACCAGTTAACCAATAAGATATTTCACATTCCTTTAAACTTGATCATAAATCAATAGATTTTTATTGATTAAATCCTTCTAATCTCAACCAATTGGATATTGAAAATCAATTTCACACTTCATATGTTTAAGTTATAACTCCCGAAGTAGTATACCACATAAACTTACATACAAAAGAACCGAATGTACAAGTATATACTGATTGATACAAGGTTGCATGAACTGACTAAAAAATCGTTTATAATGAGTATAATCAGTACACTCACTTGAATTATCACTGGTTTTTACATATTAAGGTGCGAATTGCCGAGCTTACAATTGACTTGTCACTAAGTGTAATAACCAGGACAATATTTATCAAGTCATTTTGGTTTTGACTGTATTCTCTTGGCCAAACTGCAATGTTGTGATCATTCTAAATTACTTAAATTCGCGAGCATTATGTTTTGACCCTTAAGTGAGTAAAAGCAGTTGGTAAGATACTTTGAACCTACGTTCCTTAATGCTTTGTACTCGTCAGTCAGGAGTACCTGTAAGTCTCAAGAAACTGATACTCCAATTTCCATCAGTCAACGTACTATATCAAACCCCCAATACTTTAACACAGTACATGCAGTATTCAGTAATTCATGCTAGTGTTCATACTACCACTCGATTGACAGATTTCGATTAGTACTAAAAGACTTGACGTTCATGACAATGGTCACTAATCGACCTTGTACAAGAGGTCGGTCAGTGTTCGAATAACTCAAACAGTTAAGTTTTATCATGTAGGTTTGAACATTAAGGTGAATAATATCAGTTCCCTCAAGGTGGTAGGTACGTCTTGCTAATTTGGTATGAAACATATGTCCAGTTGTTCATGTTAACTGCCTTGAACCATTTAACAAATGGTCATCTATATATATACTTACTTAACATTATTAAATATCTTTGTTCTTCCTTGAACTTTCTCCTCTTTCCTTTGTATTTGAAAGTGAAATCTCTTTTTTTTCTCACTTATCTCATCTTTTAATCCCTCTTTTCAGTAATCCAGTTAGATAATTAAATCGATTTCGGTTAGTTATGTCTAGTAAGTATACTGTATAACAATAAGTATTAAAAAAAAACAGACGAACAATGGAATTGTTAGCCTTCTTTACATTAAATAAACTCAGATACTTATGACTCATAGTATAATTATAAAACTTAACTAAAGCTTTATTTAGAAATAAAAGAATAATATAAGAAACATGAAGAAATAGGAAATGGATTAAGAGATCACGTGAACGAAATAGAATTAACCGAATTTGTGATTAGGTAGTTCCTCATTCAGTTCAGTATTATTGTAGGATGAAACGGCTGTCCAGTGCTTGCAGGTTTTTAATGTGATGGTCTAACAATGATTGGTTGATGATTTCAATGTTCAAAAAACACTAATCAGTATTATTCGTTTGACGTTATAATTTTTTTTTAAAAAAGTCTTCATTCATGCAAAACGTACTTCACCTTTCTGTTTATTTTGTAATTTTACTGTTATTTCAATGTTTCATATCATCTGAGTAAGCGTCAAGCAAAGATTGATAAGTGATGAAACCTGGAGAAACTGGACGGCCGTTTCATCCTGGTATGGGACTCATCAGCAGTGCGCACCCACGACTCCTGCACCCCGCAGGATTCGAACCCAGGACCTTCGGTATTGTGCGCGAACGCCCTAACCGATAGACCACTGAGCCGGTATCTAACGGCGTTAATGTCTAACTTGATCAGTAACTACCGAAGACTGTGTATGAGGTTACGCAACTCCGTGAAACGAAACGGCCGTTCAGTGTTTCCAGGTTTCTAATGGTGGTCTAACATTGATCGGTTCATGGTTTCAAAAATGTGTAACTTAACAATCTTCACAACCCCGTAATGCTAATAAGTGATGAGTAGATGGGAAATTTGTGAAAACTGAAGAACTTTCGTAGTTTAAACCATTTACTGATCTTACCTTGTAAACCTGGAAGTACTGGATTGCCGTTTCGTCCCAGAATGGAAATACTCAAACTACTCAAACTCGAAATTATGATTTTCGGTTTCATTTGCGTACGTTTAACTCTTGAATCACCAAGCTGAATGTGGGATCATGGATATACACTACTAAACAGTTCCACACTAGAACGAATTAACTATCAAATGCTTCCAACTTTTCATTTCAAGTTTGACTAAAATAAATTTGTATCTTTAACTATTAAAATAAGACAGTATGATTATTATCACTGTGATAATGATTTTATGAACGATGAATAGTTTGTTGTATAAGCATTAACAACGATTTTGATCAGATTGGTCATATATGTCAATCACTATGAAAAGAATATCAAATCAGAAACTATAGTAATCGCTAAGTGTAGAGAGAACATTATTCAACAGATATTCTCTGCTAAATTTTCCATAATGATCGCTAACTTCAAGTGTATAAATCCAAGTTAAATACAATTGTTTACATTCTAATAGTCTGATATTTTCTCATTCATTTTTTTTCTTCACAATAAGTATCTCATTCCAAGGCACCATTAAATTTCGTATAGTACTTTTAAAAGTCTCCCCCAAAAAACATTTCATGTTAACTGTAAGTAAATATAAAGTTACTTTTTGTCAATCACCTTTTATGATAAGCATTATTTACATTTCATTCTGTCAATACTCCATGTTATTCATTCAGCAAATCATTTTATGTCTATTTTAGCGTAGAGATAGTGTTCCACAAAAACCTGTAGAAAAAATCAATCAAATTTCTGCAATTGAATCCACATCTTTGTCTACACAAATTCAATCAGAAAAAACGTCATTACCAACATCACTACTGTTAAGAGATCAATCGGATTCACAAGGTGAAGAAGAAGAAGAAGAAGTTTCCGAATCACTTCACAATTCACAACAATCACATCCTTTAGCTATGGGAATTATCACTGGACCGAGTGGACTACATTTTGCTTCATCTATAAATTTAACAACACGTGGACGAAGTGCATTAAGTATGGCTAATCTATGCATTGACAGAGATGGTTCAGATCTTGATAAAGCAAGTGATATTGAACAAAATGGTCTAAGTGCATTACGTCGATCACATCTACTTACATCTGTGAGTGCTTATGCATCAGATGCAGATAATACAGAAGATGATCATCATTCTATATGCAGTCAACGAAGTAGTACTGCACGTTCTATGTCAACTATATGTCGTCATGGTCATAGACAACATCATCATCATTATCGTCATGTTCATAATCATAATAATCGTCATCATCAGCATCATCATCAAAATCGTGCTCGTTGTCTTTCAGCAATAGATCCTTACATTATTTATAATCAAAATGGTGATGAGTTAAACAATCAAAATTCAATCACAAATCATAAACAAGATTCTTGTCAAGCAGATAATCAAATCAATGATCATGGTACACATTGGAAATCACAAACATTTCGTCGTCTTGTAAGTTGTTTGTTTTTTTAACAGAAAAAAACAAATTATTCATACATTAATTCATTTATGCAATAATTTTAAAACATTAATCTAATTTGTTTAATAATTTTAAGATTTTATTTGTAAAATCTGTTTTTCCTCGGTCTACACAGATAAGAATGAAACGCAAAATTCATTCAAACATACTTATTAATACTTTAGTTTAGTCTGATTTCAACTGTTTACTTAAAAATTGGAAATATATATATATTATTCAGTGTGGCTTTGAATAGGCTACATTTTGCCACTGTTACACACCCAGTAGATACTATTTATAAGCCCCACAGTAAAAAGTCAATATATATAGACTACTTCACAGTGATCAGTCAATAGTAACTTCAGTTCAAATTCTGTCAATGACGTTGTCATATAGCCATTGTCCAACTCACATCATTTTGTGCAAATTCAACGTTACAATTGAACATTTAACATCATATTATTTACTGATTATTTTAAATGTTTCATATTGTTGTTCATGATCACATTTCAACTTAAATAGTTTACAATTTTTCTAATAATTATAAAAGAGATTATTACAATTTATCTTATCGCTCATCTCCTCCATCCAGTGTCATTGAAAGATTAGATGTAAATACCACAAAAAAAAACAAACTAAACATTTTTAAATGATTTCTAATCACACAAAAAAAAAATAAGAAAGAAACAAGCTTTTTGATAAATTTTATTTAATTAGTTTAACTGAACAAAAAATAGAACAAAAATTCATCTTTATTTATTCGTTTTTTTTTTACTTCGAATAAATTTCTAAATTTTATGGTTTATTATTTGAATGACTGACTATTTATAACCTAACAAGAAAAAAAAAATTGAATTAAATCAAAAATGACATTTTTGGACATTATTATTATTATTATTATTATTATTATTATTATTATTAACATTGTATGATTGATCAATCAAATTGCATGCCTTCAGTGATTTGTTATACAATTCATCAAATACAAGCCCTTACTCCACACACCCACCCACACGCACACACATACATACACTTACTAGAGAGAATTTTCCTTTCCTTATTCAATGTTACAGCAAAACGTGATTAGCCTACCAAAAAGGATGTTGTTGATGATGATGATGATGAGAATGATTGATTATCATTAATATCCTATCATCATCATCATCATCATCGTCCGATTTTGTCCATTTATAAAAAGCCGACTAAGATGACAATTTTTCATTGTTCTCTTTTTCAATCATCATACTAATAATAATAATAATAGTGGCAAATAGAAAACAGAATAGAGAGAGAGGAAGAAAATAATAAAACACAATCCTGTTTAAAATTAGATTTTCTCTAATTGAATAAGAAGACGACAGTAAATCCCAATTGAGAAGAAATAATCCTATTCATTATTTGTTTGTTAATTCAGGAAAGAGAGAAAAAGAAAGGAAAAAGTTATTGATTTTGTTTTAATAAATATGTTCAAGTTGCTTTTTCTTTCAATAAGGGATGAATAATTTACTCGTAGAGCTTTTATTATTTATTATGTTTAGATAATGCATAACAATCAATCATTAGCACTAAATTCAAATAGAATTGTTGACCCTAATTGATAGATACACTTCATAGAAGATTAACACAGTTGACTTTACTGAAATGGCTTTTATTTTTTTTTGATTTGTTATTATTATTAGTCAGACAGACAGATACAACGCAGAACTTTGTACATAAGTACATCAGTTCACGTCGCCATACCACGTCAGCACAGAGAGGTAACTGTCAGTTCAAATCCAAGAGTGATAGCGATAATAGAATTATTAGCAGTAATGGAGAAGATTAGGGAGCGAAGATATGATTCGAATAGTATAAATCAGTGAGATAATTATAAAAGGAGAAAGATGGAGATTATGAGGAATTCAGAAGGTTAGAATTAAAAAGCACACAAAGAGCGGATGCACCTGCGCCATTGCAAACGATTCTGAGATATGTTGTTCAAGGTCTCAAACCATTGGTGACTTTCGTCTCGCGGACCCCAACCAGGTAAACTACATCTACCAACATGACTCAGTCCACTTGTCAGTGACTTCATGGATTTCTGCCATGTTTTGGTTTGGCCGCCCTTAGCTTTCTCCTAACCTACTCCTATACCACAAAACATAGCTTGTCGCGGTAGTCGGTGGTTAGGCATTCGCAACACATGTCCCAACCACCTCAACTGATGAAGATTCAATACTTCATCTATTGATCTGCCATCCTTACCTAGAACTCGTTTCCTAACGATAGCATTGCTTACTCGGTCATTATTATTAGTACTTATGGGGTTATTAGATTTTCCATTTTGATGACTTGATTTCTAACTTTGTAATTGTTTATAATTTTTTTTCGAGATGTTTTGTTGGTTGCTGATTGACCTTAGGTGCCAAATTTCCCTGTACTTTGATAATGATTAATAACATCAATATTATAATTGCTATTATTACTAATATAATAAGTATGATTCACCGAAAATTAGTTGTAAGCTGAATTTTTTACACATTCGTTGATTTCATGGGAAATAAAGAAAATTTCCCCCGTAAATTTTTCAAAAATTAGTAGCTTTAATGAACCGTTTTCCTTTTCAGACATCATGAATTATTCAAACGATTAGTAAAGGTTTTTACATTTTGAAAATAATTTTTAGTCATGGATTGTAGTTCGATAGAAAACAACCGAAAATCCGCTAGCAAGAGAAACAGAGAGATATTAAGAAACAAGTGTTTAATCCTAACAAAGAATTAATCAGATAGTATTATTTGTTCACAATAGAATAAAAGACGAACAAAGACATGGTTGTTTGTCTGACACAAGTTTGTGAGCAAATCTCAACTTACAAACGAATAGATCCTACACATAATTTTCTTTAGAATTAGATTTTTAAAAAATTTACATTACGGGGTTGTGAACATTGTTAAGTTACACATTTTTGAAACCATGAATCGATCAATGTTAGACCACCATTAGAAACCTGGAAGCACTGAAAGACGGCCGTTCAGTCCTGGTATGGGACTCATCTTCAGCAGTGCGCATCCACGACTCCTGCACCCCGCAGGATTCGAACCCAGGACCTTCGGCTGTTTGCGCGAACGCCTAACCATCGGACCACTGAGCCGGTATCTAACGGTGTTAATGTCTAACTTGATCAATTCAAGGAGTTGCGCAACCTCATACACAGTCTTCGGTAGTTATTGTCTACACCCGAACTAGGTTGAACTTCACTGTTTCACGTCTTCCCACTAGAACTCGGAGAAGATTCCTCACGAAGCTAGTCACTAGTGAGCACAGGTAATTTACATTACGGGGTTGTGAAGATTGTTAAGTTACACATTTTTGAAACCTTGAATCGATCAATGTTAGACCACCATTAGAAACCTGGAAGCACTGGACGGCCGTTTTGTCCTGGTATGGGACTCCTCCAAAATTTTCACAACAAACAGAGAATTCTATTTGTGCAAATCAGGTACAATGTACATTTATTCCTTCAAATGCATTAAAAAATAATTTCAACAGATTTCAGCCTATGGCATTTAGTGAAATTCGGAATTAGCATTTCATCCTATTTCAAGGTTCATCAATTCTCATCACCTGAATTTTTAGTACGAATGTTCACAGAAAACTGAAACCAAAATATCTTTCATTTTAAACAACCAAATACGTCACCATTCATTGATCTATTTAATTCAGATAGTGTTACTCCTGCACCTAGACACGTCAACTTGATATACTTGAACTATTACGAGTTTACTTAGTCGGGAAACGAGAGCGAGGATCGGGGATCCGGCGACACGACATGCTACTCTAATCCGATTATCTCAACCCCCATATTTAGTGAAAATACGAAAACAAGACTTGATATGAAGTAGAACCTGTATTCTACAAGCATTCATAAAGTACGAGGTCCGAATCCAGAAGAGAATCAGGATCCCGGATTAAGGATTCGGAACCGGGTCCTGGTACTAGTCATAAAGCGTTACAGATAATGCGTATATATACATTTTGGTTGAATGAGAAACAGCATGGAAGTCTGTGACATTGACAGTTAAGACGACTAATAGGAAGTAACATTTGAAGTGACATTGATAGTCAGAACAACCAATAAGAAATAACATTGGAGTACGTGACATTGATATCTAGGACGACCATAAAATTGATTAGTAGGAATTAACCATTAGGAATAGACCAATAATTCTCTTAGGATATTGGATGAATATCCTAACAGATAGTCAATAGCTTGTTCAATGAGTACAGAATGATGAATATTTACATATACACTCACAGATACTTTCTTTCTTAAAAAAAACTAAAAAGCGAATTAAATCAGCAATGCACAGATTCATTGACGAAAGCTACTTCTTTACTCTTCATTAAATTCAACTTTCTTTTTTTTCAAAATTAAAATTGATTCAATCAACTGGAAGAGAAAAAAAGACGTGCCAATTTCTTATTTTGGTCATGATCGAATAATGTAGACTGCTAGTAACAATGAATGTATACTTTAGTAATTACCGTATAATAAATATCAAATGATTTAACATTTTAAACGATATAAGAATAATTTTGAAAAGATTTTCACATTTTTCTTTATTTTATTTGTTCTTTTCAAGCTGAAATAGTAATGATGATCGTCATTATTTCAGTTCAATGTTGCATAGTATATTGAATATTTAAAATAACTATTTAAATTTATCATGAAAAAAAAAATTAGTTATCTGATAATTATTCACTTGAAATAATGCCATAAATGGTATTATTTTCTCTGTTCATTGAATTCATAAAAGAAAAAAAATTTTACGAATCACATATCATCATTACAGGTCAACCGAACTGATTAAATAATTCTAACTAAAATGAAAAGTTTTTATTTTTTTTTGAAAATAAATTTCGCATGCAATGATAATCATTCATAAATAGTGTAACTTCAACCATTGGTTAGTTTGCGTTTAGTCTAGAGAAGTAGCTTATGTTTTCAGGTAGTATAAGGAGTAGCGTATAAGGTTATCTGGAAGAACCAGAGAAAATTTGAGCTGACAACTCAGCACGTAAAATGATGCATTTACATTTAATAGAGAAAGTAACTGACAGCAAGCATGAGATGAAACTGTTTTAAAAGAGCTGATGTTCCCTGTGTTAAACAAGCCTGTGTCTTCCAAGCTTATTGTTTGAGG